GAACCTCCCACTTTACCAATATTGTTAATTTATCTGGTTTAAGCTGTATCTATTTAATTATCAGGTTCTCTACTTTGTTGGGGTCATATTTGAGAATTCTATGAAACTAAATATACCTACCTTCAATCTAACCAGGTTTTCTTACTTTACTTGATCTACGGAAGTCTGGCCGGGCACAACAAATAATGGATATTGGCAACAAATTGTGATGGAACATAGACCATTTTATTGTACTCATTGTAAGATGTTTGGGCATATCCTTAACAAATGCCACAGGCTTCATCCTAACTTGAAATTTAAAGCTCAACTGCATAAGGATTTGTCTAACCCCGCTGCTCTGGACACATCTACTCCACCTGTGGAGGAAATTACCATAAGACAGGATAAGACAGGAGTTGGTAAGACAGGAGTTGGTGTCTGATTTAATTGCCCTTGGGGGGACTACTTGACCTGTGGAGGAACCTTTGAGGCCTGCTCCTTTTGTCCTTGAGGGGGGTTGCTCACTTATTATACCTCTTGTGGAACATCAGTTGGTGGTGGATGAGGAGACATTGCCCCAGCTTCAAGCTCAAAATTGTGCCATAGTTGAGCTTTCTACTACAACCCTACCACCTAATCAGATCGAACAAGTTGTTAATGTCAATCAGGCACTAGGGGATCTTGTTGTGCAATAGCCTACACCTGCTCGACAATTTTTAGACCAATACACTGAATAGATGAGCCAGTCTTTGGATGAGGATTGACAGGTTTAGCAATCTAGGAAGAGGAGAAGAATAAAGGCCTACTAGAACTCAAGAACTTAATGTATGATGCCTTGGTTGCTTCGGGTAATGACAGAAAACTTAACCATTTGTTAACAAGCTCCCTACCTTGAACCAGAGGTAAGAGGTAAGGGTACATTAGTTCACACTCAAGCTCCCATTATCTCTTTGGATCTGAAAATTTTATAGGTATATATATATATATATATATAAATACGTAAAAGATACAGAAATGTTGCATGAGAGGTCCTAAAAAGCCTAACTCTTACAAAAAACACACACAAACTCAAATAAAATAAAGATACTTAAATGAAAAAAAAGTAAATCAAATAGCCACCAAAGGGTGTAAAAGTGCTAGGGACGTCCCACTTTAGTCCTCCCTCTACCTTTAGTTCTTGGAATTGAGCCTGCTAACAAATTAGTAAAGAGAGTGTAGAGAGTGTCATTGCCCGAAGTAACCAAAGTATTATCCATCAGATTCCTGAGCTCAAGTAGGTCTCCATTCTTCTTCTTCCTCCTCGATGTGTAGACCTGTCATTCCTCATCCGATGATTGACTCATTTGATCAATAGATTGTTCCAAAGTTGGTTGGACAGGTGTAGGCTGTTGCACAACATGATCCACATGAACCTGAGTGACAGTTACAACTTGCTCGACCTGATGAGGCGGTAGTGAAACAATAGAAGTATTGCAACCTGTAATAGCGGTGTTAGGTTCTAGGGCAAGTGGGGTCTGAAGAATTTTCCTCTCACCCACGATAAGAGGTTCCAAAGACGGCTGAATGGTTGTAATATTGCCTGCGAGAATAGTGACGTCTTCGGGGGCATTCTTTTGATGATCAATATTGTTAATAACTTGGAGTTGATCAGGAGTTGAAATCACTGTCTCTGGAGGAGCACTGAGATGTAAATGGTGGCATTGAGAATTGGAGTGGCCCAACATGCGACAATTTTAATAATATGAAAGAAAATGCTCAATCACTACCTTTTGCCAATACCCATGATGCTGTGTGCCCAACCAAATTTCCTTAGAAGCAGATGAAGCGATGTCTCTTTCAACAAGTACTCTGACTTCTGATGGACGGGAAAGATTAAAAGTAGAAATGTCCGTTTTGAGTGGCTTATCATAAGCTGAGGCAATAGCGTACAAAATTTTTTTAGTAAAATAATAAAATTTCAGACCAGGAAGGTGAATCCAAAACAGAATGATCGGAGGTTCCGTCTGAGGGTCAAAATCCACGGACCATTTGAGAATCTTCATTGCTCTGTTTTCAATCCAGATTATTCTTTTAGCAAATAAATGCTTGTAATCCTCTTCATTATTAATTTGTATGAGAATGTGTCTTCCATCTAACAGTCCAATTTTTCGCTCCTCAACTAGGTGCATAAGCTCAAATTCCTTATGAATCAGCTCCATTTCTAGATGACCATACAGAAATTTCCCGACTAAGTTCAGTCGACAAGAGGAGGCAAGTTGAATACCTTCAGCTTCTGTAAAACAAATGTTAGGTTTTTCATTCTTTCTTCCAGGTTTCTTGATATCCTCCTCTCACTCAAGCGAATGAGGGAAATAACACGATTTGAGTGTACCTGAGGCGGCGTTGACACCCGCAAGAGCAGCAGCATACGATCTGTCTGAAGTCATCCCCAATAGATGGAGATGTAGTGTTAAGAATAGTGAAGAAAGCAATGAAGAGCAAAGTTAGAATCCAGAAAGTCCAGGGAGCAGGAAACCCTGCAAATTCAGCAGACGCAGGAAGAGACAACGCCCCTGCGAAACAGCGCAGAAGCACACGATGCCCCTACGATCACGTCGAGCAAAGCGCAGAAGCGGCGACAACGAAGGAGACGTGACACGAAGAGCAAAGAGCAAACGCGCAGCAAACAGAGGGACGCAGATTGCCGAATCTAAAGCGGCACACGACGCGAGAAGCCGACGAGGAAGGTTACGAGAGAAGTCGAAGCTAACGCTAGGGTTCGTCGTGAGGCGAAACCCTAGCAGAGCGGAGACGGCCAGAGCGGAGACGGCGAGATCTTTATATATATATATATATATATATATAT